TACATGCCTGACCATAAGAACAGTTGGTTGTGTTAGCTTTCTTCTTTTTAGTAGCTGATGTCTCATATTATGTGCCCAAGAAATTTGTCACTCTGCTGGACGTTATTTTGGTAGTGGTCCATGGTAACTGAGCCTGGCATGCTGGCAGCCTAAACCATCTGGCTTTGCATTTCCATACCTGCCAGTGATGTGAAGTCTCATATGTCAGCATAAAGTAGGAAGAGAAAGAAGTTCCTAGTAAGTGTAGAATATTAGTGAAGTGGAAATGTGGAAATTCCCTCTTTACAATTTTCTAATGCAAACCAGCATTTCTACATAGTGACTGTTTATCATGAAGTAATAGGTAATATTAGGGTTTGCTTGGCAGGTGAACTTTCTGATAACTAAGGTATGTGTAACTGTTTCCCTTGCTTTAAAGGATATTGCTGTGTTCAAATAGTAGTTGCAAAGAAGGCTTAATGAGAGCATTAAGGAAAGGAGCTTATTCACAGCATTAACGTCTGAAGCAATGACGTGTTAGGCTGCAATGGCTTGTACAATGATACATAGACAGGAGAACTGTGCATTTTTAAGCAGTGAAATGTTTAGTTTTTAATGCTTTGTGTATTTGCTTATGTTAGATGTGTCTCTAATTATTTGTTCTCATAGCAGAATAAAAACAGCTAGTTGAGGATAATGTCTGGAAAAAACAGACACTAGAAAACAAGTTGCTGTGCTAAGAAAGCCATCATTGAAGCAGTGTGAACATAAGACATGCAATCTGCAAATAGGGATGGCAGAAGCAACTTTACTTCTGCCACTGCCCATTCCCAATATAAAATGTGATTAAGTTTTAACAAGACAGCAAGCATTTATTTTCTGTCTGTAATCTCCAGAAGTTGAATGTTGTAGTGCCATCAAGGTACTGCATCTATTAAAACTTGCAAGATTAGATGCTGCACCCAAATGAACTAATGGCAAGCAGTATGCAGAGTGTCTTCAAGGACACTTCAATGACCTGTTTGGAAAGATTTGGAAGTGTGTTCTTAAATTTGTTGCTTACACTGAAACTGGCAAACCAAGATTGATCTCAAAGACTTTTTTTTTTCTTTTAGTAATTTGCCTCCTGTTCATAGGTCTCCACTTAAGATTGTACTTAATTACATAGTATTTGGTTACTTTCACAGGTTGCTCTGCTGTTCTAATATGAATTTTCCACATTTACTAAGAGTCATCAGGGGTTATCTCAGCCTTTTGGCTGCCCACAGGAAACCAAAACAAATTGTGGTCATTTGATTTTTTTTTTTTTTTTTTTAATTCCTCCCTGCTCTGCTCAACCCCTTGAGTCCACAGAAATGCATGAGGACTCACTATTTCATCAGCAGTTTGAACTTTCAGTGACATCTTGCTTTAAAGTCAGTCATATGCTGATAGAGTGTTACGATTATCAGCCCTGCTGGAGATACAAAAATAATGTCCTCGACATAAAAAGATTTTTTTTTTTTAAATTATAATTAGTGTCTCCATGGGTGGACTGTTTCATAATTTAACATAATATGAATTATTTTCCTTTACATAAACAAGATGAGGCACTGTGACCACCAGGACCTCTGCCATGTCAAATTCGTTAAGACATCAGTGTTAAGTCTAAATTAGCTAATTATGCTAAGAAAAGCGATCAAATAAAATTTGTCATTTATGCTAGTAAAAAAGCACATTTCTATTTTATTTTTTTTAATCCTTTGCTTCATGCAGTAATGTCCAGCAGCACACTGTGGTTAAAAATCTTTCCCACGATCATATGATATAAATGGGGATGTGTTTTCATCCGAGTTATACATGATTGCATCCACTTCATATGAATGAGAAACTGGGTGGAAGTTCTGAGTTGTCATTCAAAATAAGAAACGTTTTGAAACGTGCATTGCAAGGGAAATAGATTTTACTTATTTTCCCGCTATCTTAGATGTTAGGATGCCAAAAAGTTTAATACGTGTGCTAACTTGGACTACGCTTCTCAAATTAAGGCAATGGCAAAGTGAACAACTAATGAAATGCTGGATACTCCTTCCTATTTCAGGCTGGTGCGGGGAATCGTTCACTGAAATAAGGCATGGGCTCAAAAACATCAAAGTACTACAGAGGCCATTCCCTCATTTCAGCTAATGTTATGTTCAGCGGAATGTCATCCAGGCTGCAGACTAATTGTTATGCACACAACTTGCTTGTCTCTGACATTTTAATTTTCTTCCTTTTGAAAACTTGCAAGGTGAGAACCAAACTAAACGTTTTCCATATTTCAAATATAAAATAGAGAATATTTTTCTTCATTTTGTGAAGTTAATCACATTTGTCATCAAGTCTTTAAGAATATAGGTGGGTTTTGCTACTTTACCATCTAGTTCAGTAGACAATAACAGAAAGTACACCAGTTGGTGATGACCTGTCCTCACAACAGGTGGGACAGAAATCCGGGCAAGAGCCTACATAACGTGTGTAGGTACACAACACTGTTAGGTCCCAAAATCCTATGCAGGAGAAGAAGGCATTTAATAAAAAATCAGCAGCCCAACATTACTATCTTATAAAACTCCAAACTGAAGACAACTCTGGTAATATTTTTACACCAGAACATAACAAGATACTCTTAGAAATCGCTAAATGAAGGAAGAATTTGGGATATAAAGAAACCTTTATTTTTTTAAATTGAGCTTCAGCTTTATACTTCAGTGATATTTCCATGACAAAATGCTATAGAATTTCTTGTTGTGAAATGACACTTGAAAAAAGTGAAAAAAACCCCCATAATTTAAAAACAAGAATTAAAATTATGCTTATATAAGCATTTCTTTTGTATATTAGTGCCCTGTAACTCTGAAAATAAAATTTGAGAACACTGTATACTACTACTATTAGTATTTTTGTATTTGTGGAAAGGCTTTCTCCTGGTGTTATGCTTTGATCTCTCAAGCTTCATATATTTAGTTAAAGTTATATCCTTTAATAAACAGGCATAATAAAAAAAAAAACTGTTTAAACTTTTCCTCCATTCAGCTTTACAATACTGCACCAGAGCAGAGAGAATATTCCATGCTCAGATTCTCTCATCTTGAGCCCCTCCCTTAAGCTTCTTCAGCCTTGCAATGTAAATTGACTTGAAGAATTTGTCAGAGAAACTATTCTTCCCTCTGCAAAACATAAACTAGCATCATCTCATTTTTGAAATTGTTAATTAGCTGTGATTACTAAATAGTTCCTGGCTATATAAAACCAAATTTTAAAAGTAGTCAGTGGCTTAAAAGATATGTAAGTAGACAGATTTTTAAAACCAGTATCTGAACTAATGGGTTCTTAACTTCCCATAAAGCTGCCACTTAGATACTTAGGTACCTACCTATTTCCAAGTAATCTAGCCTTAGATTTTAGTTCCCATTTCCCAGATGTCTCCTTGAAAATGAGACTGTGAGAACATTCCACAAAGCAAAACCAGGCAGAGAATAAAAGCAAAAGAATTTTCTTTCTTGATGAATCAAACATTACCTATGCTTAGGTTATTGCCATGGGATGGTAGTCCACGTTTGGTCCTGTCCATCGGCAGGCACAGCTGTTTCACTGGTGCAAGGAAGTGCTACAGAGGTAATTTTAGAATCTCACGAGTCCCACAAATCAAGCCTGAAGGAACCCTCTAGATAAACTATTGTGATAGTATAAAATGTAATGAAACTGACTCTTGAGCACAGCATTTCATCTCTCACCATATTTAAATATCTGTAATATGCTCTAGGGAACGATGTTGTAGGTGAGTATATATAAAAATGGATAGAATGCATTACTTTTTCAGCCAGTACTGTGTTCTTCCCTCTTCAGGTGCTAAAGCTGTGCTGTCTCTAATTTCTGGATAACCTGTCCAATGGATTACAATGTGTTCAACTATGTACTTAAAAGATAAAAACAGGTATGAAGACTTTTTTTTTGTATTTAACAGTAAAAAAATCAGATACACTTGTTAAAAAAAAAAAAAAGGTGAATTGTCACACATACATTCCTTTTTTTATATCATTTATTTTTAAAGACTTATTCCAGTGAAGAAAATATAATTTTTAGGGTTTTCAATATTCAATATTGTATAATATTAAAGTAAGGCACCCTTACATTGCATTTGGAAATCAAAGCTCTCCCCTTGTCTAGGAATCAGTGAAGTGACTTCTAATAACAGTATTCTGTAGAGAATATTTTCTCCATGCAATTATCCCAACTTCTGAAGCTATAGCAAGAATATATGCTAATTGAATGTCAGTTAAATTTCAAAACAAAAATAGTTGTTCCATGTTTAGTTTGTGTCAGTGGCATCTATATTAGCCTCATTTATAGACTTTTCATTATATAAAACTAGGATATAATGGAAACCCAAGCTGTGACTGCAAACCAAAATGCGTTTGCTCTCCTATTGCTGCTCGCTTGGAAGAGGTAAGAAAATAAAGTATAGGAAATGGGAGAAAATATGACGTCTGGGTAACAAGATATCATCCAAAGGTTGCTAAAAGTCAGTGGGAGTCTGTTGATTTCAGTTTTTTGAGATTTGTTCCTACAGAGTAAAAAAAAAAGTCCCATTTATATTGTCCAGAGTGTAACAGAAATGACTAAATTTATTGATTTTAAAATACCCTCTCAAATATAAAACTAAGCCAGACTTAAAGGTTATCTAGAAGTTACAACTCTCACTCTTTGATACACTGTCTCTCTAATAAGAAAGTCTTATCTAGGAGCAAAGTAAAAATTCTCAGAACAGTTCTTTTCAATGATACATTACTGTACTAGTTCTGCTATTCTTCCATATTCCTTATAGGTCTCGTTTTCAAAAAGAGAAACATGTCAACAACTTTCTTGTTATTTAGGGTGATAACAAATGGAGAGCTGTTCTGGGGTATGGTGCACAATCAGAAAACTTCAGCTTGGGGAAACTTTCTGAAACTGTTTCTATTTGTCTAATATGGAAAAACAATCTCGTCATTTGACATAGTCTAATTTTGTTTAGCAAGCATCTCTAGCAGCTCTTTCTCTATGCCTTGGCTGCTCAGTTCATTTAAACTGTAGTATTTATGAACAATCTTTTCATCTGTGACAACAACCACTCGAAGCCCATGTGTATCTTCTCCCAGCTGACACCCTATTGCTGATGATACCACCATTTCCAGTCCTCTGTAGAACCCTCCAGCATTCCTATGGTAGTGCCCAGAAAATACAGCTTTAATGCCTGTGTAAAGAGAGAAAAGAAAAAAAAGAGAGTATGTATTTAGTTAGCAGTTTTTTTCAGTTTATGTATAAAATGTGTTTACAGTAAAAGGTACTGTTGAGGTTATATGCTGAGGCTTGCACAGCTGCTGGGGTTGTAGAGAAAGTTCTATAGCAAGTACAGCTACAGGTGTCATGTTTACCTTCATTCTTTAATGGTTCAGAAACCATAAAATTAAAAGTAAACCATTTACCTGAACTTGCCTTTTAAAGAAATAATTAGTAAACATCAATAAATAATTCTAATAGTAATAAATAATTAGTAAAAACTTTGTTCCCCTCCACTCTGTTTAGGGTTACTGGACTCTGACTTCGTGCTTACTGTGAGGTGCGTTTGTCATCTTGCTACTCCTTTGGCTAGAAAGAAGGAACGTTCTAGAGGAAGCTGAATAAAATTAGAAAAAAATTTCAGTAATAGTTAACTGCCTAAAGAATGATGCTACTGAAACATAGTTGAAAGCCAAGGACTGTGGAGCTGTATCTGTCAATTAACATGCATAAAATTCACTAAGGAAAGCTTAAACCTGTTTACCCAAGGCCAGTGACCTTAACCAAAAAGACAAACCAATAAAAAACATAAATGAGAAGATAATTTGGGTAATTTGTAAGCAAAGACACTGGGGGGTTATCACAGATGGAATAGAGCCAGGTACATCAAAGAAACCTAATAAGCAGAAGAAGTTGTGAGTTATGGTAAGAGGGGAAGAAAGATGAGAGCAGCCAAAAAAGGAAAGGTTGACAACATACAAGAGGAGTCAGGCTTGGTAATGACGTGAATTAACATTTACCTAGTATGGGGTACAAACAAGGCAGGTTTATTCCAATTTTCTCTGTATTTTTAATGACTTAAAGCTGTTATGTTTCTGTCTTTTTTAAAATAGACTATTTCTATTTTGGACTGTATTGGGGTAAAATATCACTCCATTATAAACTTGAAAGAAATACATTTGAGCTGTTGCAGAAGACAACAATATGCCAAAAATTTCTGGGTAGGTCACCTGCAAGTACCATCCAGGCTTGGTCAGGAGTAGAAGAAAAGCTAAATGACAAGCAGCAACAGGTACAGAGGACAAACATACTTCATATTTAATGCTTTATAATGTACTTTGAAATCCTTGGCTGAATCATTGTCTAACTGATTAGCCAAACGAATATTTAAAGAAGTCTAACCATTCTTCCCCATCTCTCAGAATACAATATAACAAAAAATTTAAGTTTGCAAATCCTGTCTGATTTTGACCAACATTTAAAGATGATCCATGTGCCATGTCTACTTTCTTGCATGCTCCTCAGTAGCTATGGGATTTTTTTTCAGCAATTTTGAAACAATTTGAAATGAAATGAAATTGTGTCATCCTCACCTCCAAACCATTAATTTCTACTTTTTGTTTCTTCTGCCTTGCAAACATAAACAAATAAATTGGTAGAAGCTGCATTCACTACCCTGAATGGCCTTTCTGATTGTCTTTACAGGTCAAATTCATGCTACTAAATAGATTATTTTCCCCTCCCCATTTAAGGTTTTATAAATTTTAATCAACTGTTTTTATTACTACACAATAATGAAACCCTGTTTAGTCTCATGAGTCAAAAGAGTAAAAGTCATTTTGATGCCAAGTGCTCAGCTTTCCCATCAAAGTTTGTAAAACCATTAACAATAGTGTTGAGAACCTAGCTTCTTCCTAAGAGAGAACATGTTATCATAGACAAGCATGTCATTTCCAGGTTATGCCAGCATCCTTCACCATTTAGCCATTCTATGCACTGTTGATAGATACAGCTGAGCATCATAGTCAACAGCATTCGTAGTTTGGCAAAAATTTACGCATCAGCTTTCTTGCTAATTTAAGATTGTGTGTATTTTATTTTGAATGCTGAGTTAGTATAAATAGCTAATTTTACAAACAGGTTTGGGGATTAATTTTTGGCATGCTCTGTCTAAGATCCTTGGATTTCAGACTATTACAGCTTCCCGAAGCTGCATCTAATGCTATTTTATACTGTTGTGAAACAGAAAAATTACTGGACCAGATGGCTGAAAATACTGAGAATTTTGTTGTTTATCTTCAAGCGTAAAACATGTAAATTAATTTCATATTTTGTTACAGAAAGTGTTTTGCTCTGATGTTGATTTATGATACTATTAATGACAATTCAAAAATGTTCAAATGAACCTTAAAGATTTAGGTGTAATTTCGCTATTGAAATACAATAGGTTGTGTGCTCCTTAATCATAATGACACTTTGATGGTTCAACATAAACATCTGAAAATATATTAAGTTAATACTGAGTGACTCAAAAAACACACAAAGTATTCCCTGACAACTATGACGAGATAGCCAGCAGGTTATCAAAATAACTGGCTAGTTTATGAAACTGAATCTTTCCTATTAGATTGCTATGCTGGGTAAAAAAATTGCTGTGCTATAATAGAAAAATACTTTGCTGACACTGTTCTATAGATGCTATACTTTTCTGAACATAATTTGTGTTTATGTTGAAAAATAAACTAACAAGCCAAGGTTGTGCCTGTTCCTGAGGAGGACGGCAGAGGAAAGCGAAGCTTGGCACATGTGGGGCCAAGTGCCAGCTACGGTGGGCTGTGTGAGGCACTCCCTGATGGCACTCTGTTCCTCTGTGCACGACAAGGGTCTTGGCACCACCTCAGGCTAAAAGCTATCCTTAAATATGCAGCACTGATAATTACCTTTCCAACCATTGTTTTTATCATTACAGAATAATGAGCAAGCCTGTAAAGATACACAGGGATGGACACTGTGATGATGACACCAAACTTAATTTTTTAATTTTCATATATTCAGCGATCTGCTACTCCGTGCTTAAGACAAAAGGTAACATATGCTTAGTCCTGTACAAGTGGTAGGCCAGAGAATGGGTAATTTGTGAGATACTATAACTTTAAATGGCATTTAAAAAAAAAAAAAGCTAGCAACAACTGATTTTGCCTTCAGACAGCAGAAATTCTAGAAAAGAGTAGAGGCAATGTAAAGGCAGAGAGCTGTGATTAGGAACACATTACAACTTCACTAGGAAATCCTTATTTCTCTAGCCAGAAAAACCTTCCACCTTTTCTCCTGCAGTAGATTTAGACCTCTTTCACAGTGATTAAATGAAAAGAGAAGTATGTGAACCTGTCTTAAGACAGTTGGCTACATCAATCCTTTGCTTTTGTGGGAGTGAGTGATTTGAAAACTGATATAAAATATATAAACTAGGCTCAAAGCACAGTTAAAAATTAAGCAGCTTGGAAAGCAAAATATAAACTATTCTGCTGTGTGCCTGGAAAAAGCTACATGGGCTTTTCATATTTCAAAATCCAAACTCTTCTCAAATAGTAAGTGACTCAAGGTGGAAAACAGAGAATGAAGTTACCTTTACCTTGAATAGTGGTACATGGTCATTGTCAGCTAGAACTTGTCTGCTATCCTATCCTAGTTTATCAGTACTGATTCTCTTTGCTCAGTGTAACCTGCTCATCTATCTGGTCTATGAGTTACACTTGTAAGTTGGCCAGCATAACAACTTCGGGAGCTTGCTCTGACTCAGCTGCAGGAACCTAGCAAAAGAGTTTTGCTTGTTTGTTAATCTTGGGAGAAACCCAATGAGAATATTTCAGAAAGTGATGGTAGAATATAAAAGCCCCGTGACATAATGGGCTCTTGGCAGGGATTCTGTACTTTCTAGATATTATTTATTTGAGTCCTTAAAATCATATTATAAAGATGTCTTACAACTGATGTTACAGTCAGTTTGAGAGTGAGCAGTAATTTCTCAACTCCTACCATGTTGCAGCTTATTACAGTGACTGTCTAACATAACATACTTCAGCAATTCAGGCAGTAGAACTGAGTGTTTCTTCTTTCTCATTATATGCATACCTATCGAAACCATGAGGTCGCACTTGCCTCCTCCACCCTCCAGCCTTTCTGCAGTGACAGTCAGAACGTGCCCATCTAGAGCTGTTAATGGGCATTCTCTTCTCTTGCCTCCTAATACAGAGAGCAAAACTGAACACTGTGGGACCTTTATGTATGACATCGTGCTCATTAAAGTGGGACCCATCTTGCCTTGTGGCATTCTTCTTAGAAGAGCAAGCCCTGATGGGCTAGGAGAGGATGCTGAGCAGATGAGGCTGCTTACTGCAGCCTCTGAGTTAAGGCATTTGTGGGGAGGATGTAAGACACTAAGCTTAATGTTACCAATTTGCTTTCAGCTTAGAGCTGCCTGTAATGGATTCAAATATGTAGCACTTTCCTGTTCTTCAAGCACTTAACCAAGCAACATTCTGGATTCCAGTCTCGGGCACACATCTAGCATGGACCTGACTGTATCTTGGTTTTTCCCTGCAGAGTTAAGTGGCAACTAAATGAAGGATCAAGGATTGAACATTTAGGAACCTAATGCTTGGCCTGCTTGATTACTGCACCAGCTAGATCTGTAAAACACCCTTACCAGCTTCCAATAAGTGACAGTGCCACTACGGTAACAAGTTCTTTTCAATATTTTCCACTTTTTTCTGCAGGTAAGCAAAACTACTTTAGTTATGAAAAAGTAACAATCATAAAACCACAGTGAGGTGTAAACCCATGTGACACACTTTTAGTAAGGGAAATAAGCGCTCTCTTTTTCCTGGAAGCATCCATGTTCCTAACGTAGCATCTTCCCACCATCCAGAGAATTTAACCTTTGGAATTAAAAGAGGAACAGAAGCCAAGACTCTGTGTCATCATATATGTAAACCAAATCCTAACATACAGTTTCGGTGTAATTAGAAGGACAGAGGATACAAAAGCGATAAAGCAACTTTAGTTATGCTATAATACAAACAAAAAACTCCCCCTGTCTGAGAATTCAATGGAAGATTTTGAGAAGCCCATCGTAGACAGCAGACAGACACCAGGTAAATACTGCAGCTTCACCACAATTACATTTAACGCCTGCTAACTGCCTACACTCAAGAAAGTAATTTGGTATGGAACTGAAGTAAGGGTGATTTGTAAGCAGTGCAAATATGATACCTGAGACCAGAGAGGATGTGATTTAAAAATCTCTTTTATCTTCTGTTAGCTACGCCAGGCAGATTCTGCCTAAACAAGCTGGTGTTTATGGGTGCTGTTCATCCAAATTCCCCCTTTTAGCATATGTATGTCATTCAGATCCTAATTGTGTTAGATGGGTGTTCAGTGTCAAAATGCCGTTGTGGATCTAGCTGCTCAGCATCAGCCTCTGCTATAATGTAGTATATGCATTAGATACCTCCCAGCAAAAATTTTGCCCAGACTTGTTTACAGGTACCCTTTATTTCCAGTGCTAGTCTTAGTTCTTGTTATTGTGTTACAATATGTTACATCTTCAACAAAGAAACAAACAGGTCACTGCTGTGTATTAATAGAAGTCTAACTGATGTTTTTTCTTCAATAGCACCTTTTTCTTCACTCAACTGTATTCCACTCACTTTTGTTAGTTAGCATAAGAAGGAAGTCTGAACCAGTCAATGCAATAATACTAAGATGACAAGCAGGCAATTTACTTTGCTCTTGCTTTTGGTCTTAAACATAAAAAGAATCTTAGAGATGTATGCACTCAATTTAATTTATTCATTTCAGATGTTTTTCTGAAGTAATACTGTCAAGTTGCTAGCAACCCTTCCCCACCCTCTTTTTATTTTTTTCTAAATTCTGTGAGGAAAGAACAGTGTCCTGGCAGGCCTCGTTTTTATAGCTCGCTTTCAAGTATGCTCAGGTCAGTTAAATGCATCCAGCTATACACGAAAAGGTACAGTTCCTTCCCACTACGAATAAAAAAAAAGGTAGAGCAGTGATTTGTTTTTAATCCTTGGTTTCTGAAATAGCAGTTAGGAAAAGCTTTGATATAAAAGCTGTATGAAATACTAAAAAACTACTCTGTAAATAAATGTCCAAAGGATGGCACCTTCACAAGCATTCATTATTTCATTTTTTATGAAATACAGAGTGATTTGAATTTAAATGTGACTGGAGGTTTCACAGTATCCATTAACCAAAAAAAGCAGGATCCATTACTGTAAGACACTATTCATACCTAATGGATTATTCATTAAAAGAAAAAAAGGGATTAAAATCAGAATAAAGTGAAACACTGTGCAGATAGTTACTAGAAAAAAAAAAAAGAACACAAACCACACACACTGTCTCTATGATCATCATCGTCTGATGTCAGACTGCATAACAATACCACAGTTATGGAGTATCTGCTAGGGAAAAAGGCCTGAACTGCCAAATTCATTCCAGAACAGGACTGGAAGCCAGAAACTCAGGATGGGGACTGTCCAGTGTTGAACACACCAGGTCTTGCTCTGTCTGTTCTAAAACTGTACTTGGATCATGAAAATACCTAAAACCAACAAGCTTCATGCCTGCACACCAAACATGAGTTTTCAGAATCAATCAATCTGCAAAAAAATGAATGTCTTTGTAAAAATAGCTTTAAATACAGGAATTGATTCTGATTTTAGTAAACCAAAGATGTCCTCCTGCCGTGCAATTTACCATCATTTTCTGATCAAGCACAGAAAGTCCTTTTTAGTTCTGATTTGACAAAGCTGAATCTGAAAGACAAAAAGATTTACTGTTCCCACAGATCTGATCATAATTCTTTTTCCCTGTAGAATAATGCGTTCCTACTAAGGAGTGAAATACTTATTTTGGTACAAATTCTGGAAGCCCAAAGCAGCCTATTTAGCATAAATAATTCATGACATAACCAAAAAAACCATGGATTGTTCAAGAGTCATCTGAAGAGATGTAATACTTACATACGTTCATAAGCCTTAGACTGTTCATTAGCTTGCCCATGAGACAAGTTAATAAATACTTTGTTTTTATGCTAAATCACACTCTGCATTATGTCACTTCAGAATCTAAGGCTACACAGTGGCTTTGGCAAGGCAAGAGGTAAGTGCTGAGGACAGTAATTAATAGATCATGTAATTCAGCATGCTACCTTTGATGCTATCTGTATGTTCATAAGCAGGATCTTTAAACCACAACTCACTTTTAAAAAAATTTCAAGCAAAACTCTTGTTTTAATTTGGATACCTTTTTCCAAGTCAAAAACATGATAAGAGCACTTTGCTTATGGTTTCTATTGCAGACATTTCTCAACAGAAAATTCAAAAACACCTCTGAAGACTTCCCCCCCCCCTTATTTCCAGTGTCTGCTTTCTAAAGCCAGCTCACCAAGTAAGTAGTCATTGCACGAGCTTCGGCAACCTCTTGTTGATTTGCAGCTTTCTCAGTTTAACAGCTTTCTTAAGATGGATGATTTTTACTGGCATTTCCCATCTTCCGTTTTTCTCTTGGTTCTCTCTTCAAGCTTTGTGAACCAAAACAGCACACCTTATTAAAAAGGGCTTTTCCTATGGAGATGGTGTAACGGGTACTGTTAAACTGACTCATTGGCCTTCTAGGGAAATAGATCTAAACAAGTATCTGAGATTTGCTTTGGATGCCTCATGGAAAAGATTGGTACAGAAAGGGATAACCAGGCTCAGGAACAACTGCATGTATACAACCATCACATCTTCACAGGCTGCAGTAGCTCTGATTTAAAAGAGATTATTCTGTGTGATGATGATGATCTTACAGCACTTCTGAGTTCCCAAACAACCCAAAGCAGTATAATGTTCTGAAGGAAACTGAGTCCTGTATGAAATAGTCACCACCTCTTTCAGGCCTGGTGATACTGAAAAAAATATGAAAGAAAACTTTAGCTTCACTACTGTTGTTAGCATGCTGTTGATTTTATTTGTGACAAGAATCAGATGAGAAAATAGTTCATTACATGAAAAGAAACTACACACCAAATATCATGCAGAAAGCAATTTGTCTGTTAGCAGGGGAAGCTAAGGTTATTTAACAGAAATTTAAAAGTGCAGCATCTTCTTCCCACAAATTATAGTTTATCACTCAGAGAAACCCTTCTAAACAACAGTTCTGTGGCACCAGGGGAAAGGGTCAGCATGATTTTGACATAATTGCACTGTAAGAAAACAAAGGCATTTAGCTGTGTCTCATGGGTAATTCCCCTGAGAGTGATTACATCCCAGTCTTAGCTTATTGTGCAGTTGCAGTCCTGTAATTCCCAGACTCTTCTCCCTTACTTGGTACTTTACTGCAGTTGTATTTTGTAGCGCAGAGAAATGCAAGGATGTGGAAGACTGGCCATGTTTAAAACTCCATTTGGGGCAGGAAAGAAAGGAGACTATGGCCCGCCTTCTCTATGTGGACCAACAGACAACTACATCTTTTTTAATCAGTGACTTGACCAGCATTTCTGTTTAAGGAAGTTAAGTCATTGTAAAACATCTCTATTCTAAATGTGAAATGCTAGCCAAGTCATCTTTTTGCTTTATTAAACAGACAACCAGTATATTCCATAGTAATGCAGCGGTAAGATTTTGTGAAATACATCTCTTTTCCTAACTTCTTGAAAAATTTGATGTTTGCTAGTTTAATTCAAGAAATACAGACTGAGCCCCAATCTTAAAGGAAATCTAGTTGCAATGAGTACAGAAATCCAAATAGATTAAAACAAGAGGGAAAATAATGCAGCCACATTTATCTTGAAATAGTAAAAATAATTTCATAAAGAAACATGCACCTAGAAAACAATTTTTCCTCACACAATCAGATGATACTGGGCTGGAATTCAGACTTGAACTACTTTAAATTCTAGGAGTTCCTGACTCCAGTTTCTATGATTACACTCACTTCCATGGGTAGCTTCCAAAAACCCCTGACTTCAGAAGCAGCTGTTTTCCAACTCTAGTTCCTAACGTACAAAAACCATTTTGAGGTAGGTTTGCTGTGTCCAAAATGCGACTGGCCTAGCCTCAGTTGGAAATCAAACTG